CGGCCCGGCCGTTGGCGCCCCCTCCCCTAACGGCTGCTGGCGGGCGGCGGGGGGAAGTGCAGGCCTAGGCGGCTCCCAGCTGCTCCTCTTGCTGCGTCCTTCTGCCCTCCCACCCGCCGGCCCCGGGCCGCCTGGCGCCTCTCGAGGGGGAGCGCGGGGAGAAGCTGTTGCTCCGTCCGCCCTCAGGGCTCTCGGCTACGGCGGCCTGGCTGGGGCAGGAGCTCTCAGGGCCTGGCGTGCCGTGAGCTGAAGACCAGTCCTCGGTTCTTTCCCCTCGGTCTTGCGGAAAGAACAAATTTAAAAAAAAAAAGTCTCCAACACAAATCCTCCGTGGCAGCTTCGGGATGCGTGGCAGCCACAGGCACACACTGCCCCCAGCCCTCCGGTACCCCGTGAGTACAGCGGTTTTCTCGCCCGCCGTTCACGGATGTGCATATCGCAGGTTTGGGAACAAACGGCCCAAGTTGTTCAAATCTACTGATTCACTATCCTCCATCACCAATGCCAATGGGCCTTGCAGGCCTGAAATGAGCTGTGCCTGGTTCACAAGGAAAATTTCAAGTATAGCCCTTATCGGCTCGCCCGTTGTTTCTTGTAATACGTATTACAAATCAACCAGTTTGCCAGTAAGTGTACGTACTTTATGTTGACTTCACTGCAGGATTGTTTCTGGTAATGCAGAACAGCTTTCATCAGAGTTGTTGAATGCTGAAGAGGTAACTAAAAGCCAAATCTGATAAGCTATCTGAATTCTGCTGCACGTAAGGGCAGGTAAAAATGAAAACGAAAGAGAAACGCTCATAGGACATTATAGTCTGATAGAGAGATGGTGCTGTTTCCAGAGTTAACAGAAATCACCATTAAAGCAATGGTGGTGTAGCCTACATTACCGACAGCACCTTGAACACGAGAGGCCAGACAATGTAAAAGGATAGTCAGATGTTGTATGAGGAAGATTTCTCTTAATTTCTTTGTATAAGCTCATTTCTTTTTATAAGCTCATTTTCCCCAGCCTTTTAAGGAATAATCTGTGTTCATTGAAGTGCCTTTCTGTCCATCTGCTGACATAACGTATTAATGTAGTCCAACCTTTTCATCCAGAGAATTGAACTAATTTCTGAAAGGTTACAGTTCACAATCACTACTTTTTCTCTTGCAGAGAAAAAAAGAGAGAAAAAAGTGGTTTGTCATAGTATTTTTAAATAGCTTGTTTGAATTGCTTGTCCTTTACCAGCTTATGCTTTCTGACCAAAACTGTCATTGCCAAGCAAATAAACTTGACAAAAGGAGGTACCCACACATTAATTATGAAGTAAGTGAAGCTGTTGTAAGAGAAGATGTCACCTAAGACATCTCCAGGTATCAGAAGAATAGCTCCTGGTGCTGCAGGGGAAGAAGTTAACCTTTCTTACTGCCTTAGTTTTTGCCTTCTACGGATGCCAACATTTCAGTTTCATTTTATGATCACTCACAGCTTTTTTTTTTTTCTTTGTAGCACAGCCTCCCTTGAAAACCATGGCTTGTAGTGAGAAAAGCCACTGTGGACTTCCAGTCACAACCTGAACATCTTTGACTGTCACCATTTTACCCATTGTTTTTTTAGACTATTTTTTGTACAGTCCCTTAGCCTTACTTATAGTAACGACCACTTACTTTTCTTTCCCTGCAGATATAAATATCTCCTCATTATAACTACCTCAGACTGTCACAGTAACTGTTGATACTCTTCCCATAATGTGATTTTTGACTTGAGGCAGACCTCTTAATCATCCAAGCTCAGACGGAATCGGAGATCCTGATTTCTGAAGGATCAAAAAACAGAGTAGACTGCAGTGCTGGAGCTTTTGGTCAGAACCAGAGGGAAAAAGGACAGTTATTTCTCTCCTCCAAAATCTGTAAGATATTGCCCTGGTCTACACAGAAATCTGAGAATTCATACTAGCAGCCCTTCAAAATTGTCTCCAACTCGTTTCTTAAAACCATCCATTGCTTTGAAATCTAATTGTGGAGAGCGCTTGAACTTTGTTCCCAAACATGGTTATGCATATGTTAAGGGGTCCCTGACTTACATCTTTTGTTTTGTATAAGGCACATACAGTGCAGGAAGAGTTGACTTGCTGTGCTAGGTCAAGCCCATAGTCTTTTAAGATCTATTCTAATTCCTTTTGAGACTGCCTGTTCTCTGAAGCAAGAGGGTTTTTACTGCTTGTTCATTTGTACAAATCTGTAAAATATATGTATTTATTGTTAGCAACAAGAAACACCTTAAGTGTAACCAACTAATTCTCCTCTTATTATTACATAGAACACTTTAAGAGTAAAGTTAGAGGAAGGATTAATAGGAAAAGAGAACAGTAGCCTTGTAGATTATTTTGGGGAAATTTGTGGGAATGCAAACATGAGGAGAAGCAGACAAATGGGCTGTTGAGGCTGATGATCATGGGACCATGATGCAAAAAGACAAGTAGATAATAACAGGGAAGCCTTGAAACTGAGAACAGAAAGCAAATATTATAGAAAGATCTATGAAGTATCTTTGAACAGTCCTATCAGGAGGCATAAGTATAAACTCCTGTTACCAGTTCTTGCTATTAGTCTGAAATATGCCACAGCAGTTCCTTGAATAGCCTTCTCCTGGCTATATTAACTCTTCAAGATCACTATGAAGTATAAGCACATTGCATTTATACCTGTACAGAATTAGTTCAAAATTACTGAATTATGAATGACAAAATACTACTGAATCAAAATTCTCCATGTATATTCACTCATTACAGTATTCTGTATTTCTGGTTATTACACAGAATAAAAAGTTACACAAGGCTTAAAATGGGAAACAGTCAAGATTTTTGCGTTTCAGTTTTCCACTCACCATGTTTCTTTTTGAAACCGTTTTGCCTCCATGATTCATTTGTATTGTAACATCATCATAATTAATTATATAAGTGGTAAATTGCATAGTTTTGTAATCTTCCATTCATGGACGTAAACAACCATCTGATGCCTTACGTATAGGCATTACTTTTAAAAACTAATTGCACTGAATTTTACCTGCCTGTATTCTATAGAATGGAAGATGTGTTTATATGGGTAAATATATATGCATTTTCATCAAAACTCACATATTGTATATAAGTATGCATTTTATGGAAAAAAAGTCTTCAAGTTATTCAGCACAATTAACTTTTCTCAGCTTTCTGAAGCTTTTACAGAAGATATTTTGCAATGTTTTTTACCAGGTACATTAATGTCCATTTTGTTTTTCAGGTGAACTGGGCTGCCGTATGCTTGCCTGGTGCCCTCTTGTGGATCAGTTTATTAATAAACTGTTCATCATACTGAAAAAGGTAAGATAACTTATTTTTTAAAGGAATTCAAGCTGTATGTGAAAGAAACTCTAAGATGTTAAATACTTTGCTGATATTTTCTATACTTTCAGATATATGTACTATATCAGAATATTCTGATATATCTCTTTTGACTGTTTACATTTTTTAGTAAATATTAATGCCATTGATGAAAGAAAAGTAATGATATGATACAAACTTCTGAATATTAAGATTTTAAAATATGTAATAATTTTTAAATCTAATTGATAATCAGTTAGTTTAAAATTAAACACTGGGAGGTGTTTCCCTAACCTGGAATAATAGGTTGTCTTTAGAAGTGTTTTTCAATATGATGTATGAACTCAGCTGCTAGTGTTCCAGATTAGTTTGGGAAAGTTATTATGCAGGTAAGAAAATTAGTGGTTTTGAAAAAATCTTTGATCTACCTCTCTCCAAATGAATGTAGATTTGGGACTGTAGTGAAAGTGGACCATTGCTCTTTCAAAAGCACCTGTTTTCTATCCTTTCTTAGGAGAGCTGGCTACCACATTATCCACAGGAGCATTTCACGTATGCAATGTTGAAACCTGCAGGCCCCAGATTCTCTTTTGTTCCTACAGAACTTACATAAATGATAAGACCATAAGTGCCTTCTGGCTCCGTCAATCAATGTTCCTCCCAATAGTTACGAAAATTGTGGTGAAATTAGAAATAAGGGAAAAGTACAAAGCAAAAGGAAAAAAAGAACACAAGACAAAAAATAATACAACACAAGACAAAATTCTTGAGAAAGAAAGGGATTCTTGAACTACATGAGTTCTTAGTAATTTATTTAAACATGCAAAATAAGTATTACTAGAATTATAACTTTCTTATATATGTAAAATTAGGTCTTACTTTTCGGTAGAGAGTATCTTGGAATTAAAAAGATTAAGATTACATTCAAGACTTTTTAAATGTTCAAATCAATGTTCAAATCTGCTGTTACGTTTACTGTACAGTATCCCAATTTAAAAGTACTCCTATAGAGCTAGAAGATATCTTATATCTCAGAGGACTTATCTTGACTAGAAAAAGAAGGTCATGGCGTTGCAGGATTCATACAAATGTCCCAGATAACCACAACTTCCTTTCTAACGCAGTTGCAAGTTACGGCGTCTGTCTTGATTTATCTTGTTAATGTCAAGTTTAGGTTTTCCCCTAGATCTATTCCTGTAAAAAGGGCAGTAGATTACTTTCTTCCAACTGCAGACATGGGTTTTCCAATTTATCTTCTGCTTTTCCTAATGTAGACAAACATAGGATCTAGTTAAGTTAGAGCAAAATATCTTCTTTTAGTGCTTTAAGCAATGCGGCTTAAATAACTTTTAAAAACTTTATGCCTACATAAATAATTATATTGTATCACGTTTAGCTGGACATGTTAGTAGGTTGAGGGCAGCTCTAGACTTCAGTAAGGGTTTGCCTTATCTGACAAACTAAAACACAGTTTTTCCTGTCTATCCCAGTATTTCACAGTTTGTTAGTTAAATTTTGTAAACTAGCAGATTTGTTTAAAAATATTTTTTATGTTAGTCTGGAAAGGCTAAAAGCTCTACAAAGGAGATACATAAGCATGGTTTATTATAACATATCTTCTTTTCTTTATCATGCTGTCTCCTAGCCATTATCTAAAAGCTCCACTGAGTTAGGCTCACTTTGAAATGCATCCCTTGATCATTGGAAATAGGTCTGGAGTATTAAAAAGAAAATCAAGCTGCACTCACTAAGGACTTCGGCCTACACATTTACCTGGGCATCCTCCATGTTTTATCTTCAAATCGTACTGGAACAGCTAATTCACCTTTGTGTTTGCGTTTGCTCTCTACTAGTACTGCAAGTGAATTATTTGGCAGAAATAAAATGCCAGACATTCCGAGAAGGAATGACAGGATAATTAGAACGCTATGGAGTGTAAGTCTCTATCTTCCAATAAGGTACAGAAACATACCTCTGTCCTAACGAACTTCCATTCAGTTCTTGAGTTCTAAATTCAGTTTACTGCTGAGTAAACAGCAATTACAATATACACAACAATAAAAAGAAAAATTAGGCAATTTTGCACAACTACTCCATAAGTAGGAAGAAGGCTAGAGGTAAGCATGCTGTGACTTTCTTATCCTGAGGTCAGTTAAGCATCAGTCCTGGTATAGATTACAGCAGTCTAAGAACAGGTCTTATCTATGTTGAGTGCATATAGCATCCAAATACTTTCCGCTATCTGGACTGCTGGAGCACAACGTCCTTCAAACATACCATCTTCTTACTCCTGCTGCACTCAGCGTGTATCCTATTCCACAGGATGAGAAAGGATGGCATGCAACAGAAAAGTCTCTACCCAAGGATATTCAGCTTCTTTTCTAGTATTTCGGTACAATCTGAGGACACAACCTAATCAGATTGTAAATGAATACCCATAACATAAAAACAAAATATAAGTGGAGCTTGGAATTAAGCAATAAAGAAAAGTAGAAAACTATTTTTCTAAATAAGAAGGAGCAAAGAGGAGAAATGAAGGCTCAGAAAAACACCACAGCTCTTTCAGATGGTAGAGATTGCAGAGGATGAGATTCTTAGACAGATGTAATAGAATTTGTGGGAGAAACCTAGGGAGTCTGTTACTGGAGGAGTAACAAAGTGAGAAAAAAAAAGCTCATTGCCAAGAAATGGTTACTCCTCACATTTTCCTAAGGGTGAAACATTTAAATTACTTATCCCACCAGAATTTTTTTTTAATGTATGATAATTTATAAATGGTTTCTGGAAAGAACATAATGAACTGGCTGAGAATCAGATCTGCAAGCAATTGCTACACTCAAGTGCACTTGTATATGAAAGGGGTGAAAAGGCCAATAAATTATTTTCCTGGCTGATCAAGAATGAGGAAGTTGAAGATTTATCTTGGAAATAACACTGGATACACAGATGGTAATTTCAGACAAGCGAAAAAAAAAAACCTAGCCTTTTTTGTCACAGATGTCACAGACTCCCCTTGCAGTCACTTCAGAATAGTGACCATTCATAACCTAGTAAACTCCAGACTTCTTGTTGAACAGTCTCTCTGACTTGGCTTGGAAGGAGGTAAGGGTTTCTCAGCAACCTACAGATTGTGATCTTAAAGGAGCTCACTTACTCAGCTAATTAAATCAATAAGTTGTTTTCCTGTACCGAACTATGATGTCTCAGACAAGGATATGTGTGTTGTTTCTTTAAACAATTTGTAGGAAGCCCAAAGTAAGAACAATTTATGTGGAAATTCTGTTTCACTTTACAGTGTATCTCTGATATCTGTTCTTTTTTTTTCTAATTTGTTCGGTTCATCTAGTGCTACTTCTAGTGTTACTAATCACTGTAATATATGGCGTTTTTTCACATACTCCGAAGAAGGAAAATCCTTAAAAATTATGTGAAGAAAATTAGATTTCTCACTTTTATTTTAAAGACTAAAATAAAGGAAATATAGTGCCTATGTATGAACTCTTTATTACTAAAGTTATTTTGCATGTGGATTGACAAACTTTTTTGATAACGTAGGCTGCATTTAAATACAGATGATTTGTAGTCAGTCCTGGTGCCAATCTCCTAATGTACTTAACAAAATTGAAATGATACAGAGATCATGACAATAAAGATCAAGGTAAAGAACAGCTTACATATGAGCAAAAAACTAAATAGACTTGAACAGTTCAGCCTGTAAAAGAGACGATTGATAGAGATCTATAAAATCATGAATCGCAAAGAACATGAATCATTCCCTCATCTGCTAAGAGGACTAGAAGGAATCAAATGAATTTGGCAGATTGCAGGTCCAAAACAAAATAATTCTTTTTTCATACAACACATAACTAGAATGTGGATTTTAATATCTGCTATGGGATACTGTTGATGCCAAAAGTGTGCATGAGTTCAAAGAACAAGACAAATTCATGGAAGAAGAAGTTATTAAATACAAAGATATCATCTCTGGCTCAGGAAGTCCCTGAACCACAAGTTTATCAGAGAGGTATAATTACATACTTTCCTTGCTCTGATACTCTTCCATAAGAATCTGGAATCTAGTCACATTTGTTTAAAGTGTTTAGGGCTAGTTGGGCCTTTGGTCTAAGCAGGTGCAACTATTCCTACCTGGTACAGTTTAGTTCACTATGGCTGTTGCAGCTGTGTAAAGGTGTGGAAATCCAGCTGTCCTATAATATAGCTCAGCAGCTGAAAATGATAAACTGCAAGTGACAAGCCAACTTTGTACAAGCTATGCGCAGAAGTGCTCTGTGTGGCACCAACAGTCCACACACTATAACTGGGAATTTCTGTGCAGATAATGAAGAAATTTAGCACGTATATTATCTAATGGTATGGTTCAACTTCTACCAAAGGCAGGTAGTCTAGTAGAAAGAGAGTTAAAGTTATACCACCTCTCTGTTTCTCAGTTCTTCTAAGAAATGGGAATACACCTTTTTACCAGATCTCCACTTGAAGAATGCCAAGTCAGGCTTACATCCCATACTGCTCACAAAAGTTGAAACTTCAGTGAGGCTTTCTGTTTTATTTGAGAGAAACACAGAAAAATCCTTTGTTGTCAGTCTTATTTATCCCCTCAGGTCTTGTTCTCCATTTGGTCTTTGAAGTCATGAAAGTAAATGTTTATACACTTCTGCCAAACCCCTGTGATTAGTCTTTAAAAATGTTAAAGGTATATATAGAGCTATTATGATTATCTGTAAGATGTGCTTGAGATGTCATATCTATGATGTGCTCTGTTCTGCTCTCAGGTACACCCGGTTGCTGCTTGTTGGTTGTCTAGTCCTTTGATTTGTAACCGTTCTGTGCTCTAGTCATTAGATCCAGTGCTCCACAATGGAGTTCACCCCTTCTTCTCACTGCTTCAGTCAAAACAGCCAGTGTAACTTATGCAAAAATTCTTTTTCCCCTGTAACAATAAACTAAGATCCAGATTTTTGTTTCTAGACTCCAGATTATCT